GTGGTGAGGTCCTTAATGGTCTGAAGATACTTTGGGCTATTGTTCCTATCAGCCAGAATCATTATCACTAACATAACCAGTAGTATCAGGCTTATCAACCAGAATACCTGAAGGATAATAATAATAATAATAATAATAATAATAATAATAATAATCTTTATTTGTACACCACCATTTCCCCAAAGGGGACTCGGAGTGGCTTACATGGGGCCAAGCCCAAACAAAAATTACAATATAACAATACAAATTACAATCAAATAAACAACATAACAGTAAAATATAAAATATCAAATCTTATAAAACAATATACACAAAACATAGGAACTAAGCATAATGGCAGACAAACAAAGGGCGGGCCGCATGTACATAAAATGATTTAAAAACTCTGGGTGGGATAAGGGGGGAGAACTAATTGTAAGGGTGAACTCATAGAGAGATAGGAAATTAAGCCAACCTTCGTGTGTGTGTGTGTGGGGGGGGGGGGGATACTGGGACAAGAACATTGCAGGAGCACTAGCATAAAATTATGTGGCTACTCTTTGAAAGCGCGACAGCAGAGCCAGGTCTTAGGACTCTTTCCAGATCGGGGGGCCACAGAGGGGAAGGCTCTCTCCCTTGTACCCACAAGGCGAGTCTGAGAAACTGGCAAGGGTGAAAGGAGGGTCTCGCCCGAAGATCGAAGGGTGCGGGCTAGTTCATGGAGAGAGATACGGTCACGAAGGGAAGCGGGTCCATATTATACCATATGACCTGCCTCTATTGCATGGTAAACTTCTCCTAGCATGAAACAAAGTGGAACTCTTAGATACAGTATCTGTTGCCCAGACTTGAATCCAAAAACCTCTTCTCACCCCACAATAGGACCATCTACTGATGACACCAAAGACAGTCTTCTAAGTGACTGATCCCAACATACAGCTGGCTCTCTCACATCAACAGGTTCTGCTGTCCATGGTACACACACATATACACATAATGTAATGTTGGTGGACAGGAAAAGAGATTTGAAGATGGGCTTAAATCCAACCTTAAAAACTGTGGCATAGACACCGAGAACTGGGAAGCCCTGACCTTTGGGCATTCTAACTGGAGGTCAGCTGTGACCAGCAGTGCTGTGGAATTTGAAGAGGAACAAATGAAGGGCAAAAGGGAGAAAAGTGCCAAGAGGAAGGTGCGTCAAGCCAACCCTTACTGGGACCGCCTGATATATTATTATTATTATTAACTTTATTTGTACCCCGCTAGCATCTCCCGAAGGACTCGATGCGGCTTACACGGGCCGAAGCCTCAAAACACAATACAATAGAAAACATAACACAACAATATATAATAGGTCTTGAGCATCCACAGATTTTGGTGCCCACAGGGGGACCTGGGACTACTTCCAGCCAACTCCGAGGGCCCACTGTCCCAGACACTTACAAAGCCCTGAACGGTTTGGGACCCACCTACCTTTGTGAGCGCTTTATCTTCTACGAACCTGCATGACCCCTTCGATCTTCTGAGGAGGCCCTCCTCTCGCTCCCATCTCCGTCGCAAGCGCTGCTTTGGGAGCGAAGGATAGGGCCTTCTCGGTGGTGTTCCCTTGACTTTGTAACTTGCTACCCGGAGAGATTAGGCAAGCGCCCATCCTGGCAGCATTTAGAAAAAGCCTAAAAACCTGGCTGTTCCAGTGTGTCCTTGAGGAATTGACAACAAATCCCCATACCATGACCAGCTCAGTACAAAATGCCCTTCATAGAATCATAGAGTTGGAAGAGACCTCGTGGGCCATCCAGTCCAATGCCGTGCCATGTAGCAGGAAAATCAAGTCCAAAGCACCCTCCAATAGATAGCCATCCAGCCTGTGTTTAAAAGCCTCCATAGAAGGAGCCTCCATCACACTTTGAGGTAGAGAGTTCAACTGCTGAACAGCTCTCACAGTCAGAAAATTCTTTCTAATGTTCAGGTGGAATCTCCTTTCCTGTAGTTTGAAGCCATTGTTCCGCGTCCTAGTCTCCAGGGCAGCAGAAAACAAGCTTGCTCCCTCCTACCTGTGACATCCCTTCACATATTTATGCATCGCTATCATGTCTCCACTTTATCTCATCCTTTAGTGAAATTAACCCCATAGCCTGTCCCATCTGAATCTCCCACCAGACACACTACCCTACTCATCCATCTCACCCAGGGTTTTTATAGTTTTTATAATTTTATCCCTTGCAATTGGCCCAGCCCACTGTGCTCAACTTTTACTATTTTATTTCATATCCTGTGTTTACTTTGTATTAATTTGTTTTGTTTACTTTTTATTTTATGTTATTATTTCTTGTATGTATTCRATTTTGACTTGTTGTAATTGTTGGGCTTGGCCTCATGTTAGCTGCCCTGAGTCCCCTTTGGGGAGATGGAGTTGGGGTATAAAATTATTATTATTATTATTATTATTATTATTATTATTATTATTATTATTATTATAACTCTGGGTTGTAGTCTGAATTTTAAAGGCACTATTCAAAGTTTACCCTCACAACAACTCAGTGAGGTTTATCAGGATGTAAGGTGTATTAACACAATGTGTGAGAGGTGTCATTCATTGTGATGGCTTTTGTTCTTTCAGTCCAAACATTTACCATTCAGCTAAGATTTAGCTGCGGGAGGTCTGAATAACAATAATATTAATAWTAATAWTAATAATAATAATAATAATAATAATAATTCTTATTATTTGAAACACATCTAGATTAGTACACAGCAATGCTGGCTGTTGTGTTGGATCACACGTTGGACACTTCCCAAGTGTTTAGGACTGAGTGAAGTATCAGCAAATAATGCGTGAAGATCCAAGTAGTGTGGCCTTTTGCAGCTGACAGATGGTAATTTTGTCAGCACCGATTGTGTTTAAGTGCAGGCCAAGGTCTTTAGGCGTTGCACCCAGTGTGCCAATCACCACTGGGAACACCTTTACTGGCTTGTGTCAGAGTCTTTGCATTTTGAATTATTATTATTATTATTATTATTATTATTATTATTATTATTATTATATCCTGCTTTATCTCCCCAAGGGGACTCAAAGCAGCTCAATATAGGACAACCAAACTTAGCCATTGTGTAACTTCCAGTTAAGACAACAGACAATGAAATGAAACAAGCTGGTCTGTCTATGGCTAGTGGCTTGTTGAATTATCATGCCTTCAACAGTCCGGGCATTTGCAATCTGAAAAAATTACTGTAAATTTTGCTGAATAAGAATATTCCCATTGTGTGGCACATATTGATATGGTTTAGGATTGGAATTAAGTTTTTATTATCTATCTTCAAGTCATTTCTGACTTATAATGACCTTAAGGCAGTGGTTCTCAACCTTCCTAATGCCGCAACCCCTTAATACAGTTCCTCATGTTGTGGCGACCCCCAACCATAAAATTATTTTTGTTGCTACACCATAATTGTAATTTTGCTACTGTTATGAATCACAATGTAAATATCTGATATGCAGGATGCATTTTCATTCACTGGACCAAATTTGGCACAAATATCCAATATGCCCAAATTTAAATACTTGTGGGGTTGGGGAGGGGTTTGTTTTTGTCATTTAGGAGTTGTAGGTGCTGGGATTTATAATTAACCTACAATCAAAGAGCATTCTGAACTCCACCAATGATGGAATTGAACAAAACTTGGCACACAGAACTCCCATGACCAACAGAATACTGGAAGGGTTTGGTGGGCATTGACCTTGAGTTTTGGAGTTGTAGTTCACCTGCATCCAGAGAGTGCTGTGGACTCAAACAATGATGGATCTGGACCAAACTTGGCATGAAAACACAGTATGCCCAAATGTGAACACCCCCATGACCAACAGAAAATACTGTGTTTTCTGATGGTCTTTGGCAACCCTCTGACACCCTCTCATGACCCCCCTAGGGGTCCCAACCTTCAGGTTGAGAAACACTGCCCTAAGGCAATCCTGTGACAGGATTTTCTTGGCATGATTTGATCCAAAGAGGTTGCCTTTGCTTTCCTTTGAAGCCGAGAGAGTGTGGTGTGCTCTCAGTGGATTTGTATGGCTAAGCAAGATTCAATTCCTGGTCCCAAGAACAATAGTTCAATGCTCAAACCACTACACCATACTGACTCAGTATGGAGATTATGCACTTTCCCAAATGCTGTTGGCTGCCGATCCCAGCAAATTAGCGAGATTTGGAGGATTGGGTTGTAGGTTAGGAGTCAGCTGCATTAAAATCACTACTGACCAAAAGATCATGCGTTCGAAGCCAGCCTGGGTTGGAGTCAGCTTCTGGCCATTTGTCTAGCTTGCTGTCAACCTTTGCACCCCTTAAGACAATTTCATCTGTCAAGTAGAAAATTTAGGTACCGCTTATGCAGTGAGGCTAATTTAACTAATTTACGACACCATAAAACTCTCCAACAGCGTGCAAAGAATGAGGAAGTACTCCATTGGGGTCACAAGTGGATGGTGAAATGACAGTTCCCCCAGTGGGTGGAATTCAAAAAGCATACCGTCATGAAGCTGGAATATTAAATAGCCTCTGTGTGTCGGTTTATATATGTTGTGTGTCTATGGCATTGAATGTTTGCCATGTATATGTGCATTGTGATCCACCCTGAGTTCCCTGCGGGGTGAGAAGGATGGAATATAAATGATGTAAATAAATAAATAAATCTGATGAGAAGTGCTGGAAATTGTAACCCAAACATATTGGAAAGGCTGTATCATTCCCATCTCTGGAACAGACATGCTCTTCCTGGGAAGTCAGTGATTTTTCCCAAATCGAATAGGATTCTGGTTCTAACCATTTTGTGCAGACATCTCTCCCATCCCTTTCTCATTCTCTCAAATTTATTTGCACTTCCTCGTCTTTAAATATTCCCTTTTTCAAAAAATACACAGTTTACATGCCCTGTGACACCAGAACAAATGTTTAGAAGAGCAGAATAGCTGGAGAGCCAATAAATAAACACAGCAAAGATATCTCAGTCTGACCCCAATCTGAACCTTTTTTTTAACAAAACAGCAGTAGATCTTTATTTCATTCCACTCAGCCCACCATTACTTCCATGTCTATTTACATTTGTGGAAGGAAGCCTGGAGCACAAGATAATTTATTCTCTTCAGATAATATAAATATGTCATTGGTCCTGCTTGGCCTGGGAAGATGTACTGAGCACTGAAGAACAACCTGGTGGGGAGAAGTTCAATGCTGTGGCTGTGCTAAGAAAGGGAGAAGTCTTGCATATTTCTGTGCAGCTCTTAAAGACACAGGAGCCCTCTTTGGAGTGCAAGATGGCAATCTTTGGACCACAGGATGGCAATCCCAGGTGCAGGCTATAGCACAGATGGATGCTGGCCAGGAGACAAGCTGAATGCGTTGGGGTTGGGATGGCCGATCAGGTTGAGGTAGTGCCGGTCCAGGCCTTGTACGGATAGGAAAGTACTGCGCTGCTGCCCAGGGCTAGCGAGAGGCATGGCTGGATTGGGAAGATAGGGAATGGTGGGGCTTCTGGTAGAGCTGTGCCAGGAGAAGTGACCGTGCCCAGATCCCTGCTGGAAAACCGGGTCATTGGCGCTGTGCCCCAAACAATCTGGAGCTGGTGGAAGCTGGTAGGAAAAGTCTGGGTCTGGAAGCGATCCCAATGAGGTCAAGATGGGTTCGGTGACAAAGCGAGCTTTGGACTGCAAGAAGGCCAGAATCCGGGCATATTTGGTATCTTTGGTTTCCATTTGCTCTACCGTGGTCAGATAGTGAACCAGATTCTTCATGCACTCGTGGTAGCCATAGTGAAAATAATTGGCAAATTCAGCTAGAAGCTCTGTTGGAAGGAAGGAAGGAAGGAAGGAAGGAAGGAAGGAAGGAAGGAAGGAAGGAAGGAAGGAAGGAAGGAAGGAAGGAAATATGAGTTATCTTAAGTCTTGTGTGCATTCCCGGAATAAAGAAATAATTCCCAGCAAAACGTCCTCAGAATGCACTTTAACTATTGGATTGCGTTGGACTGCGCCCCTCACTTCTTTAAAACCCTCCTACCAGATATTTATTTATTTATTTATTTACAGTATTTCTATTCCACCCTTCTCACCCCGCAGGGGACTCAGGGCGGATTATAGTGTACACATATATGGCAAACATTCAATGCCAATTTTGACATACAATGTATACAGACATACACAGAGGCTATTTAACATTTTCTGGCCATCAGGGGAGCTGTCTTTTTCATCTTCCATCTGCGACACTGATGAAGCACTTCCGCATTCCCCACATGCTTTTTGCTGGAGTGCTTTGCTGGAGTCTTTTTTATGGCCTCATAAATTAGTTAATTTAGCCTCCCCACACAAGGTGGTACCTAATTTTCCTACTTGACAGATGCAACTGTCTTTCGGGTTGCAAAGGTCGACAACAGCTACACAATTGGTTGGAAACCCACTCCAACCCGGGCTGGCTTCAAACGCATGATATATCCTACCTTGTTCATGCCCAGCGTTTATTTTTAAAATTTTAAACTATTACATTTGGCCTTGCCATAGGTTTTTAAATCCTCATGTGTTATTGTTATATGTGATTTATTTTAATTTGTATTGCATTGTATTGTTTATTGCTTTCCTGCTTTATTGATGTGTTGTTGGACTTGGCCTCATGTACACTGCTCCAAGTTCCTTGGGGAGATGGTGGCAGGATATAAATAAAGTATTATTATTATTATTATTATTATTATTATTATTGATTTTGGGGGTTATGATATTTATTATTGATTATTTATTTGCCATATTTATACCCCGCCTTTCTCTACTCCAGCAGCGGGACTCAAGGCGGCTTACAATGGCACATACACAGTGCCTCAAAACAACAAATTCACCTAAAAATAGTTTAAAATTTGACATGATTAAAATACATTCAAAGTTAAAAACGCGCCATCCAGAGTTCAAGGTCTAAGGCCATCCCATGGTCAAATAGCACATATGATTCTATATTCGGAATACTGCATTGCCCTAATTTTCAAAAGCCTGTTCCCAGAGCCAGGTTTTGACTCTCTTCTTGAAAGCTAGTAGGGAGGTGGCTGATCTGATGTTGCTAAGGAAAGAGTTTCACAACCGAAGGGCCACCACTGAGAAGGCCCTCTCTCTCGTCCCTGCCAATCGCACTTGCAAGGAAGGTGGGACCGAGAGCAGGACCTCCTCAGATTATCTTAGTCTCTGAGCTCATTTGTAGAGGAAGATACGTTCGGACAGGTAGCCTGGCCCAGAACCATTTAGGGCTTTATAAGATAAAGCCAGCACTTTGAATTGTGCTCGATATCACACTTTTTTTTGTTGTGTCAGGAATGACTTGAGAAACTGCAAGTTGCTTCTGGTGTGATAGAATTGGCCGTCTGCAAGGACGTTGCCCAGGGGAGACCCGGATGATTTGATGTTTTTATCATCCTTGTGGGAGGCTTCTCTCATGTCCCCGCATGAAGAGCTGGAGTTGATAGAGGGAGCTCATCCGCCTCTCCCCAGATTCGAACCTGCGACCTGTCAATCTTCAGTCCTGCCAGCACAGGGGTTTAACCCACTGCACCACCTGGGGCTCCTTGGTATCACACTGGCAGCCAGTGGAGTTGTATGCTCCCTGAGCGCTGCTCAGGTAAGCAACCTGGCTACTGCTCACTGGACCAGTTGGCGCTTCCAAACAGTCTTCAAAGGCAATCCCACATCAAGCGCATTGCTGTAATCTATATGGGATGTAACCAGAGCATAGACCACCACGATATATTGGGTAGAGAGTGATCAAAGAACCCCAACCAACAACACTGCTTAGAAAAATTGCTTCTTTGCAGGCCCGTAGCCAGGATTTCGTTTCGGGGGGGGGGGGGCTAAAAAAAATTCAGGGGGGGGTTTGGGGGGGGGGTGAGTTTCGGGGGGGGGTTTTTTGGGGGGGGGGGGGGGGGGGGGGGGGGGGGGGGGGGGGGGGGGGGGGGGGGCTGAGTCTGAGTGAAAGAGGGTCTAGCCTAGCAAACCTTTTGTATCATTACCCCAATACCCCCATGCATATGGGATATATTGGGTATGGTGATCAGATCATGATATGAATAAACATAACAGTTTAAATAATGCACCAGTAAGGCCTTTTCGCGAACCACCATGAGAATTTGGGGGGGGGGGCTGAAGCCCCCTGAGCCCCCCCCCCCCCCCCCACTACATGCCTGATTTGGAATACAACTCTCTAAGGCTGGATCTACACTGCCCTATATGCCAGGATCTGATTCCAGATTATCTGCTTTGAACTGGATTATATGAGTCTACACTGCCAGATAATCTGGGATAAGCAAATAATCTGGGATCAGATCCTGGGATATAGGGGCAGTGTGTTTTCCTGAATCTTTCACATAACAGACAGGTAAAAATGTGCTTTGCTGTAAGTGGACTTCTAAAATGGATCATTTCTAAACAGTGGCACATCAGAGGCCTCTAAATTGATCAACAAGATACTCAGCAGGCAATCAGGTTTTATCAAAAGGCATAAAAGGCCCAAGGAATTAACCAAGCAGATTGGGAAGACTTTTAAATATTAGTTGGTTGTAGGGAGGGGCATCAACACTGTACAATTAATGCAGTGTGACCCCAACTTTAGCTGCCATGACTGAATGTTATGTAATTCTGGGGTTTGTAGTTCAGTGAGGTACCAACACTCTTTGTAAAAGACCTTGTAAAACGACAACTTCCACCATTCCATAGCATTAAGCCATGGCAGTTGAAGTGAGGTCAAACTGCATTGATTAAACTGTGTAGATACACCCTTAGTTGAAAAGATGGGTGCTGCTCATAGAAGTACATTTGCTAACGAAGAGCTAAGATGTCACAAAATAGGCTGTAAGTCCATAAATTTATCATGATAAATGCACTATTGATTCAACATCACTTGAAACTTTTACATTTTTTTTTATTTTAGAAGGTGGATATTTTCAAATAGGCTAGCTAGATCATGCCAAATGTCCATGTCGCCTTCTCAACCTATTCCCATGACTGTTCATTAGGACAGTACAATAAAATATAGCCCTGCTTATCGTTTGTGGGGGATAAAACCAATCAGAAATACCCTGACTCTAATTGACTTTGTATACATTTGCCTTCTCCTTAAAACACTGGTGGAGAGGGTCAGAGTTTGTTAATGTAAATTAGTTACTAATTCCTTCATTTGTTCATTCATTTATTGCTAATCCTGGCTTTGCCATTACACCAATATCTAGAAACAAACTTCCACATTCTGGAAATATTCAATTTAAAAGTAACTTATTGAAACTAAGTGAGTGTGGAGAAACTGCCTCAGGCATCCTATAGTGTGGATTGAGAAGCAGATGGAAGGTTTTACCCTTCTTGCCCCTTTCAGGTTACTGCCCTCAGGAAGGAAAGAGGGTAAAGAAGGAAAGACAAAAGGGAAGGAAGGAAGGAAGGAGACAGGGAAGGAGGGAGGAAAGAGGGAAGAAAGGAAGGATGAAAGGGCGGAAAGCAGGGAAGGGAGGAAGGAAGGGAGGGAGAGAGGGTGGGAGGAAGGCAGGGAGGAAAGGAGGAAGGAAAGTGGGAAGGAAGGAAAGACAAAAGGGGAGGAAGGAAGGAAGGAATAAGACAGGGAAGGAGGGAGGAAAGAAGAAAGAAAGGAAGGATGAAAGGGTGGAAGGGAGGGAAGGAAGGGAGGGAGGGAGGGTTGGAGGGAGGGAGGGAGGGAGGAAAGTGGGAAGGAAGGAAAGACAAAAAAGAAGGAAGGAAGGAAGGAAGGAAGGAAGGAAGGAAGGAAGGAAGGAAGGAAGGAAGAAGACAGAGAAGGAGGGAGGAAAGAGGGAAGAAAGGAAGGATGAAAGGGTGGAAGGGAGGGAGGGAGGAAGGGAGGGAGGAAAGGAGGAAGGAAAGTGGGAAGGAAGGAAAGACAAAAGGGAAGGAAGAAAGGAAGGAGAAAGAGAGGGGGGAAGGAGAGAAGAAAGGAAGGCCGAAAGGGTGGGAGAGAAGGAAGGAAGGTGGGTGGAAGAAGGAGGTAAGGGAGGGAGAGAGGGAAAGAGAAAGGCAAGAGAGAAGGAAGAAAGTATATAATGGTGTGAGAGAGGAGTGCCTGAGGAAAGAGCCCAAGGAACCACATCTGGGTCCTGAGCTTGGGTTTGCCCATACCTGATCTACACTGTAGAATTGATGCAGTTTGGCCTCAGATGAACTGCCATACATAGCTGAGTGCTATGGTAAGTCTGCGGTTTGTCATTTGGAGAGGCACCTTATGACTGAGAAGGCGAAAAACTTTGCTCCAGGATTCTGTAGCTGGCAGTTCAAGTGGTGCCAAACTGCATGAATTCTATTGTGTAGATGCACCTCTCTAAGACCAGAGAGAAAGCCAGCCTGGAGCGCTTCCTGGAGCCTCAATGGGAGCGCCTACTAGGGACCAGCCAAACGCCAGGGATGCGCCACGGCCGCCGATGCCGAGCGCACTTACCCTTTTCTCTTCCTCGGGGGAAATCCGCCGAATGGAGGGCCCTCAAGTACTGGACGGTCATCTCCAGGATCTCTGCCTTCTCGAGTTTGCCAGAACTCTGGAAGGGCGACAAGAGAGAGGGGGGAAAGTCAGGGAAAATGTCCTGCCACCGAGGGCGAGTTCCCAGTCTTGGAAAGGAGCGGAGAGGAAAGGCGAGGGAAGAGCGCACGGCCGGAGGAGCTCTTTCCCTCCCAAGATTGGGACCCCAAGACCCTCTCCTTGAACCCCTCCATCCCCTGTTCACCAAAGGAGCCCCAGCTGCCCCCTTTGGGCAGACCCCACCTTGGCACAAGGCTCCTTCCTTTGCCACAAGAGACGCGAGGCGCAAACAGTGGAGGAGAGGTCTCTCCCTTGAACCTCCTCTTACGCACCTGTTTGGCTAAAGCCATGGGCACCGTTTTCCCCAGCTCGTTCAGACAACGATTGATCCGATCCCTCCTCCTCTTCTCGATCACTTTGTGGGAAACAGGGATTCTCTGGAAGAGAAAGGTGGGCAATATAAGAGAGGGTCGCGTTTGGGCATGTGGCGGACAAGCTGGGCACCAAAACGCACACAAAACAAGACCCCTCGAGTGCTTCTTTTCTCCTCTGGCGAGGGATGCCTTCCTTGGATCTATTCGAAGACTTGTCCACTCACCTTGGGCCAAGCTTCACACCAATTGCTTATAGAGAGAGAGAGAGAGAGAGAAAAAACTTGTTCATTTGAAGCAACTCACCTTGGGGCAAGCCTCACACCAATTGCTCTCTCTCTCTCTCTTCTCTCTCTCTTCTCTCTCTCTCTCTCTCTCTATATATATATATATATAGAGAGAGAGAGAGACTTGTTCATCTGAAGCAACTCACCTTGGGGCAAGCCTCACACCAATAGCTCTCTCTCTCTCTCTCTCTATATATATATATATATAGAGAGAGAGAGAGACTTTTTCATCTGAAACAACTCACCCTGGGGCAAGCCTCACATCAATTGCATATATACATATACAGATACATATACATATATATCTCAGCAATTGGTGAGAGATTTGCCCTAATATATATATATGCAATTGGTGTGAGGTTTGCCCCAAGGTGAGTCTTCTCTCTCTCTCTCTCTCTCTCTATATATATATATATATATATAGAGAGAGAGAGAGAGAGAGAGAGAGAGAGAGAGAGAGGTCGATTCTTTCATTTCCACTTTCCTTCTTCTCGCCAATATCTTGGAGATGAAACAAAGATCACACCTCAGCAGCAGCCTTGCCAAATGGAGACCACAAAGTGACGCCCCAGGATGGGATATAAAAAGACAAAAATGTTGAAATATTGTGGAGGCACAAGGGGCCTTACTAAGTGTTGGGGAACCTGAGCTGTTAGGCTCAAAAATAACCCTCACTTGGGGTGATTCCACCATAAATATAGCAGAGTGCCAGAAGTAAACTTCTTAAGCAGCAGAAATTTACCTGTGGTGAAACTGGGATTAGCTTCTATTAGGATAGCACAGAATGGAAGAGTAAGGACTTTAGGTTCAAAAATATTGATTGAAGTAAAATAAATACATTCCTGATAGAAAAGGTCTTGGAGCTGACTAGTTTACTAAATCTCATCTTCTAAAGAAAGAAAAAGGGTAAAAAGTAAAAAAAAAAAATATCAATGCAGCTACATTTTGCCTAGAAGGAAAGAGGCAAAATGTGTCCTCACTAGAAGGAAGAAAAGGCAGAAGAGACAGTGGTGGATACCACGTGGTTAATCTAGGGTAATTAAATTTATAAGAGGAAGTTCCCTCACAGAATTCAATTCCTATATCCTCAAAGGGAGGGGAGGAGACAGTGGCTAGCAAGAGAAGGAAAGACAATGCCCTTTTGGGAAACATGCCTGGTAAAGTGGGGAAAGGAAGACCTCAGCTTAATCCTATCTCTAGTCTAGTTGCTCATTGAGGTCTGGAAACGTGATGACACAAGAGACTTGTGCAGTCCAGGGATGAAAACCAACTTTAAGAGGTTTGACATGTCCATAGAGTTGAAAATGCTCACATCTCTCTCTTGCAATCTTTGCCTAACAACACCCAGCTTTCCATTTTCTCTGGGGTTCTGACCTGGACTCAGGGTTTCCCCCAACATCTCCCTTCCCACCAGACACAAAGCTGAGACAGTGTCCCTCTAACAAGGCGACAGATCTCAGGGAGGCAGAGGCTCTCCAGACTCACTTTCCGCTCCTTCAGCTTGGAGGCCATGTCTTGAGCAAGAGAACCTGGCAGAAGAGCTCCGAAGTCCTTCCTCTTGTGTCCCAGGTGGACTGCAGAGCCCTTCGCCTCCAAGGGTCGGCTTATAAAGCGATCATCTCTGAGCCAGAGGGAGGGGGACTGATATTCATGGCCTGGCTGATTCCATAGGATTAGGGAAAGCAGCATTCGGGAGGGGAAGGCATGCATTAAAGATCAGGTTTGGGGGGAAAAAGTATGTTCTGGGGTAGTCTGGCAAGGGGGGACGGGGACATGACAGGTCAGCTTTGTCACTCCACGTGGCCCTTCAAAAGACACGTGACCCCACCCCCTTCCAGGGTATTTGCATGGCAACGGGTCGGGCAGGAGGGAAGCAGCAAGCAGGGGAAGCTTGTGGGAAAACAGCAAGCTCCCTTCTTGGAAATCCCTGGGACAGTCTCTCACACAACAAGCGCCTGTTTACAAATCCCAAGCAGCCCCTGGTTGGCTCACCCCCTCCCTTGTCCCAGCCCTGACTGCATTTTAAAGCCTGTCCAGAGTCATTAAAGTAATTAAGTAAGCCCTTAATAGGCTGTTCCGCCCAGTTCAAGGAAGAGCCCTTGGAGACGGAGTGGGCCCCGTTTGTTCTCAGGCTTTTCTCACACGACTTGGTGACACGTCCATCTTTATGAGAGGTGGCAGCGAGGCCCTTGTTTTGTTTCTGGGGCTTGATGTGGTGGCGGCAGGTGTGGGCGACTGGAGCCTGGCACGAGGTGGCCCCCCTTTTCCTAGAGAGAGACTGAGAGAGAAAAACCCACGCTTTCCTCCCTCAGCAGACCCGGGAGGCTCCCTCCAACCTTTGGCACACGACGGGCCTTTTGGAGCTTTTCTGTGCCTTTCTGTGCTGGGTGTGTTGCCTCCAGCTTGTTATTTTTCCCTCCTCCTCTTTCTCCTCCTCCACCCAAACCCCCCTTTGGAGAGGCTCAATTTGTAGCCTATTATCCTATAGGAAAATGTCCCATTGAAAATGTGTGAATGGTTGCATTGGGCCTAAATTTTCATAATGCGGGTCAAAGAAAAGAGGGGCCGAAGAAAGAGGGGATCGCAGCTGGTCTAAGCGAGCATTATGCGGTGTCACCTGCGAGAAGAGTCGCTATTCATTTGCCTAATTTTGGTCAATTTAACCAACTTCAGGAGAAATTATTGTGGCATTGTTCGGGAGGGTGAAGCCTTCTGATCGAATTAACAGCATGTTTTGATCCGGTAAATGTCATTATCGAAAGAAAGAAACAAAAAGAGAGAGAGAGAGAGAGGGCTCGGAGTGAAATGCGCCAAGTGGCGACGCCGAAAGCGCAAAGGCGCACAAAAGGAGCAAGTAAACGGCCACAGGGAACTTTTGTACACGCACATTGCTGACGTTTTTGGACACAAAACAGGCATTATTTCATACTTGAATACGTCTAATCCAACAATTGTCTATTTTCGGCAAACATATTTTCACAGCATTGTTAACTTGGCTCTCCTCTCTCCGAGGGCCCTCTGTTCTGGCAGCCGCGCGTCTCGCCTCGAGAGCGCACAGGGCTCCCTTTTTGGGGGGCAAGAAAATGAGCCCGAGGGGGGGCCAGGGGGGAATGGCGGCCATGGGGAAGTGGTCCGCTTTCTCCTGAAAGGCCTGACGGGGACAACATCGAAAACACGCTAACAGGAACCCGGGAAAATGAGTTCAAAGTGGGTCCCCCCATCCCCTCTCCAAAGCTTCGGGGCGCATTTGGGTACCTCCGTCCTCTTTTTTGGCACCTCTTTCATTCCTACATAGAGACACCCCCGCCCCCCCGGACGAGCCTCATTGACACTTCTACGAGTCGAGCAACAACTGCAACTCGGGGTGTAACGAAAGCTTTCACTTTTAAATCAAAACATCCCCTCGACTTTGGAGAGCTGTGCCAAGCCAAGCTCTCCAAAGTGCAATCCATCCCATGGCGAAAATAGTTGGTTCCCCAGAGAAATAGTATTGACGTCCTTTTGTTTTCAGGACCTATGGTTTCCTTCATTTCTCTCCTTCACTTCCAGATTAGATTCATGATTTTAATATATATTAATATATATAATGATTTTAATAAATATATATATATATCACTTATCCTTTTAAGATAGAGAGCAATAGGATCATTTCAACTTTCCAGATTGGCCACAATTTTGCCCCCACTGTCCCTTTTGGTTTGGAATAGTTGTTGTTGTTGTTTATTCGTTCTGTCACTCCCAACCCCCCCCCCCTTCAAAGTCAAGCCAGTCACTTCAAGGATACCATCCATCCTTCCTGCCCTTGGTCGACCCCTCATCCTTTTTCCTTCCTTTCCCCCCAGCATCATTATCTTTTCCAAGCTTTCCTGTCTTCTCATGATGTAGCAAAAGTACCTCATCTTTGGCTCTAATATCCTTCCCCCCAGTGAACAGTCAGGCATTATTTCCTGAAGTATGGACTGGTTGGATCTTCTTGTGGTCCAAGGCACTCTCAGACTGGTTTGATACTTTTGCACTCTCAGAGTTTTCCTTCAGCATCACAGTTCAAAAGCATATTCCTTCACTCAGCTTTCCTTATGGTCCAGCTCTTGCATCCATAGATTACTACGAGGAATACCATTGCTTTAACTATGCTGATCTTAGTTGCCAGTGTGATGTCTCTACTCTTAACTATTTTTTTCCATCTTGGTCATTGCTCTCCTCCCAAGAAGTAAATATATTCTGATTTCTTGGCTGCAGTAATTTTAGCACCTAGAAATACAAGTTACTACTGGAGCAGTAGCAACTGGCAAATTCCTCCTTTTGTCTCATTGCAATGCTTTCAAAAAGAGATTTCCCTTCTTGATGTTTTGTCTGCAAACCTGGTGGGTGACTAAACAAACTTCAACAACAAAATGTTCTCAGGAAATGTGCGTGCCTTGCACGGTTGGGCCCTTGGACGCTCCTGACTGCTTTTTTTGCTGCTTGCAAGAGATACCCTTTGAGAGAAGGCTGGTAGGTTTCAGTATATTCAGTCCTACACAATGGGATTAGAAACTAACCGTTATCATCCAAATTAACTAAACTCTGAATAGTAAATGTGGGAGCTTTATATTTTTTTTTTTGCCCTCCCCCAAGAGCCAGTGGAGATGGAGTTGATCCTCTTACTGTCTGTGTTAACTGCCAGCTGCAGGCACCTGCAAGGCAGTTCTTTATGTCTCTGCCTCTCTCTCTCTTTTAAACACTACTCAGCTTGTTTATTTGCTGCTTTTTTCCCCTGTGTCTCCGCCAGGACAGGCTGGGATGAGGTGCAGGTTCAGCTTTGGCAATGAAAGCTGGAAAGGACACATGCAAAGTGGATATGACAGGGCTGATGGGCGCTCGGGTGCTGGAAATGTTATGGCGTATTAAGGGGAGATGTTTGCTTTTACTTCTGATTTCTAACGTTACATCTCTGCTCAGACTAACAATGAGGGCTCAGGCATACATTAGGAGGTACTGGAGGAACCCTTTGACATGTTTCCAGAGAACATTGTAACTCTCCTGAAATGACACTTTTAAAAAATGAATGCAGGAGGGTTCACCAGAAACTGATCTGATACTCCATTTCCCCTTCTTTTATCCTTCCTCTGGGTGGATTAAAAAAAATAAGCACTTTATTTAGAATAGTAATTTAATAGAGGAATTATTGTGAGAAAAGATTGTTTTCCTTTATATAAAAAGGCAATCCTAAAAGAACCAAAATAACAAATGCCCAATTGTCGTTTCTATCTATATAAATAAAAATGTAATGTTCGTTTGTGGGATTAACAGAACTCAAAAACCACTGGACGAATTGACACCAAATTTGGACACAAGACATTTAACAACCCAATGTATGTCCTTCACTTAAAAAATTGATTTTGTCATATGGGAGTTGTAGTTGCTGGGATTTATAGTTCACCTACAATCAAAGAGCATTCTGAACCCCACCAACGATGGAATTGAACCAAACTTGGCACACAGTTCTCCCATGACCAACAGAAAATACTGGAAGGGTTTGGTGGACAGTGTCCTTTGGTTTTGGAGTTGTAGTTCACCTACATCCAGAGATCACATTGGACACAAACAATGATGGATCTGGACCAAACTCTACACGAATACTCAATATGCCCAAATGTGAACATTTGTGGAGTTTGGGGAAAATAGAATCTTGACATTTGGGAGTTGTAGTTGCTGGGATTTATAGTTCACCTACAATCACAGAGCATTCCGAACCCCACCAACGATAAAATTGGGCCAAACCTCCCACACAGAACCCCCATGTGGGCCACAGCAACGCGTGGCAGGGGACAGCTAGTTATTTTATATAACAACGGAAAATCCTTTGTTTATTTATTTATCTACTACATTTCTGGAGGCTCCGGTGGCACAGTGGGTTAAACTGCTGAGCTTGTGAGCTTGCCGACCCAAAGGTTGGTGGTTTGAATTCAGCGAGCAGGGTGAGCTCCTGCTGTTAGGCCAAGCTTCTGCCAACCTAGCAGTTTGAAAACATGCAAATTTGAGTAGATCAAAAAGGTACCACTTCTACAGGAAGGTGATGCGTTCTATGTAGTTATGCCAGCCGCATGACCTTGGAGGTGTCTATGGACAACACTGGCTCTTTGGCTTAGAAATGGAGGTGAGCACCATCCCCTAGAGTCAGACAGGATTAGACTTAATGTCAAAGGGAAAACTTTACCTCTACTACTACAATTCTATCCCGCTCTATCTCACCCCGAAAGAGACTCAGAGTGGCTCGCAGTTTGGCCATCTCAGTGCCACATTACAAATACAAAAATATATAAATACATCATATTAAATAATAAAACAGGGAAAAAACAGATCAATACAATTAAAACTGTTAAAAACATAGCCCTAGTCCCATTGTTATCATTTGTGCTGCTACAGCAATGTCAGTTCCATATTGCACTATTCCCTAAATGCTTGCTTCCAAAGCCACGTCTTAACTTTTTTCCTGAAACAACAAGGGAGGAGGAGGCCAATCTAATATC